TTTTGTGCCCCTTTGTCCCCCTCCCCCTCCCCAAACACCGCAACCCGTCCTCCATGGTAACCACCAGGCACTTCTCAGTGTCTATGAGTCCACTGCTATTCACAAAAATAAATCTTAAAAAAAACAAAAATCGTCATGTTGAAAGTTTTGACCTTGGGAACCACAGAAAACTTTCTTAATCTCTTCATATCCTTCTTCCAATATCTTTAAAATGAAAATAATGGTTATGGCTCCATCTTGCAGAAATGTGCAAGTATTTGTGAGATTTTGCAGTTAAATAAAAACTAATTTCTCTCTGACTTTTCTTTAGAGCACATTCTTGGAAACCAGATTATTAAGAAGACTCAAAGAATGAAGACTAAAAATATATATGGGTTTCTCTTAGAATTAGGGCAAAGCAGTGGATGCTTGTTAAACCCAGAAGCTGGATGGGAAGAGTAGTGCCCCAAAGTAATCTCAGTTCATAAAGGCATGAATTAAAAAGCTGAGCTATGGTGGGGTAGCAGTAGCAGTTCACAAATACACATGTGTAAGAAATGTAACTTGTATAGTTTTTCTGTAATGAAATTAATATCTTTCTTAGCACCAGTTACATGGAGTGGCTGAAACATCACCTCAGTCCACTCAGGGTTTCACTACCCCTTTCTCCAAGCTTGTGGCCAATTTCTAGTGCCATTTATAGTATCAGTGCAGTAGTGCGGAGGCTTTTACATCTTGCCTAGCTTGTCGTGATCAGTTCACCAGGAATGTGTTGAGATGGACATTATCTATCTGGTCCTGTTCACTGGTCTTTGTATGTAGCTGCTGAACTGCCTTCTGCTCATGGTCTAGGGGGAAGGAGAAACGTTTTGTTGTTATTTGTCCCCTCCAGGAGCCACAGGATCTCTGTGAGCTGTCTTAGACTCCCTGAGGCTACTACTACTCCACCGACCAATCCCACACTTCGCTGAGCCCCAGAATCTCAGAATCTGGGTTCTGGAGTATCGTCTGAGAAAGGGAGCTATGCCGCTCTCATACCCATGTCCCCACTGCTCTGAATCTACATGACTTCTGTGGTACTGTGAGGGCACAGGACTCCTGTAGAGACTCAAAGTTCACATTCCTGTGCTCTGTTCTCTGAGTCATTGTCTTTCTCAGATCTGATTTCCAGTGAGAGCCACAAACTGCCTGTAACTGATAATATGATCTCATAAAGGTATTATTTATAGCATATATTTATGCCCTGGGCTCCTTATTTAGCTACTTTTGAAGTTATAAAGCCCAGGTCCCAGAAACTCAAAAGTAAAAAATTCTGACACTTGCTGTTCTTTAATCTAAACTGACTAAGCTGCTTCCTAAATGTTCATATGATAAGGAGGTGTGAAAAACTGAAACCAACCGAACCCAATAAAACCAGCCAAAAAACACACAAAATTAGTGAGTATAACAAAACTGGAAGAGTGCACAGGACTGAAATTCAACTACTAACTCAATTCCATGAGTGAAAATTCTTGTTGCCAATGTGAAAAGACTCCAAAAACTAGACAGGTTGTTTATTTCTCTATCTTTATAAGCAATTCCACAGTCTTAGAAAGGTTTAAACATGCATGGATTAAAAATGAGGTATAATCATGAGTGGTAATGAGAGGACCAGAAGTAGGTATAGAATACATTTAAAGGTTCTTTAAAGAAAATGACTCCTTGCCTCTGGATGGGGTTTAGGTCTTGGGGTCATGGATGAGGGGCAAGTTCTGAGCAGTTAAAAATAGGGAATGGAAGGAAGTGTTGGCCACCACATCAGTCTACACATGTCAAGTGGAGCCAGCCAGGATCCAGATATGACCTATAGCTGAAAGGAGGTACAGTCTTTTATGCTCAGAACATTGTAATGAGAATACAATGGATTGAGAATGACTTAGAGTTTATGAAGCCTAAGAAAGAGGTGGCTCAGTGGTTCTGAACATAGACCCTAAAGTCCTCTGTAGCTTGAGCTAGAAACTCGGCTTTATTATTTGTTAACTTCTTCATCTTGAGGAAATTGTGTTGCCTTTTGGAATTTCTGTTTCTTTGTCTGCAAAAATGGAGATACTAATAGTAGCCACCTTAACAAGGATATTATTGTCAAGATTCAGCATTTAGATGAATGAATGAACCTACAGTACTTTGTTAGGTATTCAGGAAAAGTTAGCCTTATTATTATATTACCATTATTAGTATATATAATCATTATCATCATTATATGATACACTGTGTATTCACAGCATTTAACTTCTAACCCTTCCCATTAGAATAGTGGCAAAATCCATATGGAGGTGTCACTGAGGAGAATTTGTTCTTTTTTCCCCCTGTATTCTTTTCTCAATGTATCCCCTTTATTCTCTATCATTCAACGACTCTCTTCTGTGTTCTGTGCTAATTCATCTTCCATTCTCGTTGGTGCCCGAATGGTCGCTTTGCACTGCTGGGAACATCCCCACCTTCTTCCCCTTCCTTCCTGCTTACAGAGGCTGTCTATCTGGCTTGCCATCAGCACTTGCTCGGATTTCATCCTTTCAATAGTAGTCAGCATGAATTAAATGTCTTCAGGTCTTTTCCTACTTAAGACCGTTGGCATCTGTGCAGTGGCAAAAACTTACAGACGTCGGAGCTCCTCCATTCAACAGGACTTAATGCTTTTGTCATGTCTTGTCCATTTTTGGTGAACACTCCAACGGGATATTGGGCTTCTTTAAGTCTGTATATCATATTTAAAAGTGAAGTATATGGAAAGATACGGACCTGTGATAGAGAGCTTATTTGGGAGCCAGGTAAACTGGGGTTACAGCCATGGCTCTTTACCACGCACGCCGTGTGTCCTTGGATAGCATCATCCTGTATCGTTCTCAGGGCCCTGTCTCCTCATCTAGGAAAAAGACCAATGACTCTCACCTTGAATGGTTGCTATAAGAAAAGAGTTGATGACCAATTCCCTATATTGCCAATCTGTGAGTATCTCACAAAATGTTAATATAGCTCAAACATTTATATGGACTGTAATAGTAATAAAAATAATGAATTATTTATGTTTGCATAACATTTAGATTCTACTAATAAGACTTATGCACCTGGAAGAAAGTAACATTACAGTCCAAAAAAATGATATTTATTTGACAGACTTATGTTTCTGGTTTCATTTTCTAGTTTTTTGCTAAAACACACAGTACATGTCTTGATTAAATAAGGTTATACTTAATCTGCCAATCTCAGGGTGAATAAACCATTGAAATTTGCTGTATATTACATTTATTTCTAACCTTTCTCTTCTGACACCTTCTCTCAGATATACTGTAGTGTCCTCTGTCTTTAAAAATCCTTCTTCTAGCCCTGATACCATCCACTATTCCACCTTGCTGAATAGTTATTTTCTTCCATGTCTAATTCTCCATCCAAATATTAAATCTTCTTTGATTTTGTGTTTTGGAGTTATTTCTTTCTCTCCTCTCTAATCTCAGGTAGTTGTAGGAACAGAAAATAACATAAATATTTCAAACAAAAGAAAAAGAAAAGATTTGATGATTATAAAGTCTCTGATGCAATGGCTCAAACTGATCGCACAGAAAAATGGAAGCTTATACTGTGCAATTGAGTCTGTTGTTTGTGTTCTAATGCTATGAAAGTCCGTCAGCATTGATACACTATTGGCATGCAATTTCTGAGCATAATTCAGAGACAAAGTATTTGGATAGCATTATCCTTTGGGGCAGGGAAAACCAAGGAAGAAAAAAAATGAGAAGATAAGAGAGTAAGGGAGATTGTAATCAGGGATTTTTGTTTGTTTTTGGTTGTAAGACATAAAGACTCAAGTTAAGCTAGCTGGAAGCGAGGTGAGTTTATTATGAGAATTCTGGGATACCTTAAGGGATTCAGGGTCAGAAAATACATCTGTTGCTTCCTGAGAAAATGGGAAGTTGTCAGCAAGTTAAAAAGATTTGTGCTCTCATATACTCGTGGTCTTGTTTTTGCTTTCTCTTGTCACACGGCCTCATGTCTCTGCATGTTTCTGACTGTCTGTTGTTTTGCTTTCTTCTCTCTGAAATCTGGCTCTTTCTGCTTCCTTATTGGCACAGTTATACCCCAGTAGCCATCGCAGTTCCTGACACTACAGTATCTTTCCAGTATCTTTCTAGCTCTGTCTGACTCTCAGGTTCTGGGATTCTTAAACGGAAGTTCTCAAGGGAGAGGGTCTCACAGGGCCAGCACAAGGGGCAGATGTCCACGCGTGATCTGACCAGCTGTTGGCCAAGGAGGAAGGAGCATGTGATTCAAGTGACTCGGATTGTAGGAACACGGAGGCAGCTCCGGAGAACAGGGCGTGAGCTGGGCAAGCCCTCTAACGTGCTGATGACAAACAGCGAGCTAACTACCCAGAACGGTTTGAATTCAGTGTGGTTGCTGAGGAACGGTTTGGGAAAACAGCTTATGGCAGAGGTTCTGAATGTGTGTGTTTGTGTGTGTGTGTGTGTGTATGTCTCTCTCTCTCTCTCTCTCTCTCTCTCTCTCTCTCTCTCTCTCTCTAAGAGACAGAGAGACAGAGAGAGAGGGAGGGAGGGAGAAAACAGAATTCCCATTATAGAAAAAACCCAGGCCTAAACAGGAAAGAAACTAATCTCCCAGATACCAAAAATGGCTCTAAGAACAGTAGGTTGTCCTAGGGCTGAAGGGATGGAAACTGTTTTGGTGACCCAGAAAGCTGAACCTGGAGGAGGGCTGGAAAAGCCTCTAATTTAAGGGTGTGTGTGTGTGTGCGTGTGTGTGTGAGACAGGGTTCTAATGATTTCCTACTGCAGCTTTACCTTCCACGTGTACCTAGAGTGGGTTTCCTGTACCTCTAAGGGGGCCCAGAGCCACTCAAGCCCTCCAGCCTTTTATGTGAAGTGTAAGTAAGAATAAATAATACAAACAAGAGAAAGTGAATGGAGAAATGACGGATCTGGCAGGGAGAGAAAGGGAAAAAGTGAGGGGGAGGGGAAGGAGGAGAGCGAAAGGAAGCAGAGAGTTTGTTACTTTAAACATAGACTAAGCTAATTGCTGGGAAACCACTTCAGAAACCTTAACATTTTTAAGACGTACACCTAGAAATTTCCATCTGCTGTGGTAAGTGAGCTGGGTCCCTGGACTGTGGGTGCACGTCATGCAGAAATGGAATGGGGAGAAAAAAGAGGTTTTACCGGGGAAGAGCCGGGAGGGAAAGGTGTGGGTCCAGAGATGTAGGTTTTTGCTGGATAAGTAGTTTAAAAAAATAAAAACCTCTTGGTTCGGTGGCAACAAAGAGCACATTCAAAGTCTAACAATAGATGAACTGGGTGTCAAAATCTAAAAAGTCAGTTTCCAAGCAGAATTTAAAAACATACAGAGTCATAAGAAAAGTGACAGCGGTGATTGTTCCTGGGGACTGGGGTTGAACTTGAAGGTTGGGAGGAACAGGGACATTTCTTTCCATTTTGCACTCCTTTGTAGTGTCTGACCTTTAAAGAATAATTTAAAAGTATATTGACTTTATAAGAAAACAAAAATATCGTCTAGGTTAAAAACTCACAAAAATACATTAATAGTGACACCTAGTATTTCCAGCTTGGTTGGCGTTTAGGTTTTTGTGTGTGGTTTTTTTTCGTTGTAATTTGATTTTAAGTGTCTGAAATTTATCCTCTGATAGCAACGTTTAAGCTATTTTGAGTGAAATTCTCTCCGAGATACATGTCACTGCCTTTTGCCATCTTAAAAAGGGAGTATTTGATGATTCAGGAGTACGACGATGAGAGTGTGTAGAAACTCAGAGAAAAGGTTATGAAGTTAAGTATCTTGAATCACACACACACACACACACACACACACACACACACACACACACACCCTTAAATCAGAGGCTTTTCCAGACCTCCTCCAGGTTTAGCTTTCTGGGTCACCGTGAATACAGCATGTGGTTCAAGAATCCTGGAATAAGATACGGAAAACAATGAAAAAATCTGTTAGGTAATAATGACTTCATCGAAGTCAACTGTTCTTAAGTACTTTAATATTAAATTGAAAGAAAGGTGATTCTGTTGGATTATTATTATCATACCACTGTTATTTAAGATGACTGGAAACCAGATCAAACCCAATCTATTGCCCAGCAACTATGAGAAACAAACACTTTGTTTCTTAAGCCAACTGACATTAAAACACTAGCAAAGATCCCTAAAAATACCTGCCTTGGAGTTCAGTTCTCAGTTAATCTTTTTAGTTCTCAACGTTTCTTCCCATTAGAACATGTGACATTAAAATTCCTAAGATGCACATTAGTAATTATATGTCATTCATCTATTTTTTTTCCTTTTTAAAACTTCAAATAATTGAAAGTTGCTTTCAATATTAGTACTCTAAAATAATAAATACCTATGAACATAGATCACTTAGCAGCTCTTCTCTTTTGGCTCAGAACATAACGGAAAGGGAGATGGTGTAGAGCTGAACAGTTTTGGTGCTACTGGTGTGTGCTGAAGCAAGGAGCTTGAAACTGTCCTTTGCAAGTGAATTCCCACCAACTGTGTCCTCATCGGACCCACACAGGTTCCTGCGGGAGGAGGAGGGAGTCTGGGCAGCTCCATCACTCCTGCTGCGTCGTCAGAGCAGGATTATAAGAAGTTATGTCTTCTAGATTAGGGCCTTGCCTGAATAGGAAATCACCTAAACAGAGCAATGGCTATGTGACTTCCTGATGGCGAGTTAGTTTATACTCCTGCTGTGAGAAATATCAGCAAGTCACTGCTTTCTGAAACTACCTTAAAAACATTGAATATGCTAACAAGAACGAATTATCTTTTGTCTCATTTGCTTTGAGATAAATGGAGACCAAGTGAGAAGATATAATAATGTTTAGAAAAATAACTATTTAAATTCAGAGAAATAAAAATAATGATACTAGCAAATATTTAGTAAGCATTTACTATGTGTGAAGCACAGATTAGTACCCTACATTTAATTTCATAACTACATTAAAAGTAGATAGCTAGAGTTACTCATTTTAAATGTGAAGAATTAATGGACAGAAGGTTTTGGATGTTGCCCAAGGTTGACAAGGAGTGGCTGAGCCAGTTTCAAACCTGAGCGTATCTTGGCTCCAAAGTTCTGGCGTTTGACCACAAGATCACATTTAAGTCCTCATTTCTTGTTCATTGTTAGCTAATTGTTCTGTATTAATAGGTTTGCATTCTATTTTGAAGTTTAATTTATATTGACAGGTGATCAAGAGATAAAAAAATTACTGGTAGATAAAAAGTAGACTATTCATTTTTGCGGAATTGAGTTAAAACTAGAACAATAAATCTTACAATAAAACAAAGAGTGTCATTTTATACATGTGGGCTATAAACCAACTCACCCAAGTTTCCTACTGTGTTTTATATAATTTTATGTAATTTTGTTCCTCTAGATAGCTCAGAGCCTTAAATATAAGTGCTCAATGAAAAACTGTTGAATGAATGGATCCAATTTATATTTGATTCTTAAATTTGACTCCTTCAACAGCAAAGTCTTTCTGTGGGTTGACTTAGTCAAGGTCTAAATGTGGTAAACACACAGAAGTGCTATGAATCACAGTAACAGTAACATATCTGAAGTGCATTCTAAGTGTCAGACACTGTTTTAAGTGATATATATATACAATACATATATATACATTAACTCATCTAATCCTTCCAATATCCCTATGAGATGCCCACTAGTATCCCTATTTATAGATGAGTAAACTGAGGCAGAAAGAGATCTAAGGAGTTTGCCAAGGTCTTATAGCTTGTAAGTAGTGGAGCCAGGGTTTGAACTCAGGCTATCTGGCTCCAGAGACCTCGGGCCTCAGTAGGATCAAGAGAACTGAGTAGTACCAGTCAGCCTGGGAAACATCAAGGTGCCCTTCCCTTCTTTTTCCTTAGTTCAACCTCATAATCTGCTCCACATCTCACCCTACTCCTCTCCCTCACTCCCAAGAGTGTATTTAGGATGACCAAATTATTTATCATAAAGGCAAGGACACTGTTGAGAGTAAAAGGTGGTGCTAACTGAGTGGAATGCCAGGACAAAAGGCACAAACACAGACTTCCTGGAAGCTGAGTTTAGGGTCGCCATAAATATACTGTGCCTATGTTTTGCCTATTTCTTGGTTGTTTGGAGTATATGAAGTAAGCGTCAGTGAATGGATGTACCAACTTTGATTTTTGTCAGCCCAGGATATTAAGCTGTTTCCAGTAACTTGCTATTAAAAGAAAGCTGCAGTGTGTAACCTTATGCCTCCATATTACACTCATATATGTGAGAAAATCTGCAGGATAATCTCTGCTAGGCTAAAGAGCATGCACAACTGTAGCTTTGATGGACATTGCTGCATTACACGTCAAAGAGGTTTTACCAATACTCATCCCATCGACATGCACGAGAGTGCCTATTTCAATATACTTGCCAACAGAGGATGCAATAAAACTTTTGGATCTTTGCCTGTCTGATAAGTGAAAAATGGTATTTCAGTGTGAAGTTTATTTGCACGTCTCTCATTTTTATTTCCTTTTTTATAAACTATTTGTATTCTTTCCTATTTTTTTTCTAATGGGCAAATGGGTTGATTTGTATGAGCCCTTAATATAGCCCTTTGTGATACTTGCTGAAATATATTTTCCAAGTCTTTTATTTGTCTTTTCATTTTGGCTATGACAGTTTTTGCTATGCAGAAATTTTTACTCTCTTATAGTTGTCCTTGTTCTGTTATGCATTTAGTGTTTCAGTCATATATAGGAAGTCTCCCACACTGTAGGATTGTATTTTTATAACTTACCATGATTTCTTCTGCAACTTTTATATTTTTTCACGTTTTTATAATTCATCCATCTGACATTTATTTTATGCTGTAGATCAAATTAATTTGCTTTCCAGATGACTACCCAATTTTCCAACACCATTTATTAATCCATCTTTCCCCACACTTTATAATGCTACTCTCATTATACACTTAATTCTGGTGTGTATTTGACTCTTAATTGTGGGCTTTTCATAGTGTTCCATTGGTCACTCTATATAGTCATGTGTGGGTACAGATTATCTTAGTTATAATAGCTTTATAATATGTCTTAAATATCTAATAAGGCTATTTTCTCCACTGTGTACCTTGTTTTTCAGAATTGTCCTCACTATTCCTTTATGCTTACTTTACATATAAACTTTGGAACTATCTTGTCCAGTTATAAAAATCCTACAGTTATCTTAATAAGATCATATTAAGTTTTAAGTTATAGTAGAGAAAATTTTATATATATGTGTGTGTATGTATATATATATATATATATATATATATACATGTGTGTATATACATGTATGTATATAAAATACTTATTATACTGGGCTCTCCTATTCCTATCTTTCTCACTGCCAAAGTGTCTCCCTTTTTAGTGTTTTAAAATATTTCTTCATTTGGATCTTGCAAACTCTGTTATATTTATTCCTTGGAATTTTTTTCTTTTATTTGTTGTCCTTATTACAAATGGGATGTCTTTTATTGTATTTCCTAAAATGTTATTTTGTGGATACATGGAACTTTTGTTTTAAAGCATGGCTTACAAACACACACAGACACCCCAAACCCCAAACCATACATGAACAAATAAGTTCTCTCCTTTCGCAAAACATAAAGTTAGTATTAAAATTATTAGAGTATATATGTTTGTACACAGCATACCAACAAGATGCTGCTCTGTGAACTTAAATATTCTGATAAACAAGAGTGCATAAGAATTCAATAACAAAATTATTACATATATATTACTGTTTGTTTATTTCTTTAAGCTGTTATTGTTCAAATTCCTTGAGCCCCTGCAGTCCCATGGGAACGTTTAGGGAATCTATTTGTGATACAATCTTGTTGGATTCAGGCCATGGTTACTAAATTTATTCTATAATTAAGAAAGGAGAAACATCTTCCCTTTTGGTAACAAATGGGCTTTATCGCACACGAATCTGTAGTCACTGTAGTGAAATCGAAACAGACTTTTGTGTTCGCCCACGAGGCTCCCTTCACGCCCGGTCACCTGGCTTACTAACACTGGAAGTTCTGCTCAGTCATCCCCACTGGGCCTATGCAGCTCAGCTGGACTTTTTCTTTTGACTTTCTTGGTGGCTGTGTGGCCAAAGTTACCAGAAGGAGAGGTGCTGACACGTAAGTGGTGTGCGTAAAGCCGACAGCTAGCTTCCACAAATGCTCACATCTTTTTTTTTTCCTTCTGGCTGAAGCTGGCTTTGTTTGATCTCTACCCCAAATGAGGTTTTTAGAATATGTGAGGACAATCTCTTGGGTAAGAGAAAACCAACAATATCATAAAAAGAGTCTTTCCCCTCACCATCCAAAATCTTTGTGATGATTTTGTTTCTGAAGTTCATTTTAGAAATTCATCTCTGTACCACGAGAACACGAATTTGTCCTTGTCCTTGACAGCCCAGCATGTCCCAGATGAAGACTTCTCTAAACAAGCAGTTGAACATGAAGGTGATTATGAATGTTTGAAAATTCTGTGCTGGTTGTGTAGGGGGCAAGGGAGGTGATCATTTCTGCCTGGACTGAATGTACACTGTCTTGCAAAGGGAACATTAACTGTGCAATAGTTAGGAATGTGATTTGGATGTGATTTGCTAGCCAAAGAGTGCCATGAGGCAGGCTTGACTGTCAGACAGACCTGGGTGGGAAGGCTAACTATGCACTAGACAAGGGTCATGAGCTTGGGTACGTTCCTTAATCTCTCCAGACTGCAGCTTCTTCAATCCTCTTAACTGTGTGTATCTGTGGGTATGTCTATATATGTGTATGTAAGTGTTAATTTTGTTGAATTAGCTAAGCTACATAAAAACACCAAACCAAGTGCTTAAAAAGTAGTAGCTACTATTTTAAATTTAAAATCTGGCCCTGGTTAGAGTGTAATACAAATGAGAAAAAACTCGGAATGTGTTAAGTGCCGTCACAGAGTCAGAAATCAATGGGCATTTAATTCAAGTACATTGAGCTGTTAGTGACAGTGAGCTGTTAGAGCTAAGAAGACAAAACACTGTGGGGACCATCTCCTGGGGAGCAGAAGCTTTGTGCCAGCTGTCAAAAGGAGGGGTTTTAAACAATGACAGTCTCCCGAAAACTGCAGTGACATAAACCAAAGAAAGTTTTTCACGTTTACAGTGTGACAGAAAAGGTGGACTGGACATTGTTCCAATAAGAATTTACTAAGTGTAGGAAAATACCAGGTATTTTCCCAAGGCAACTATTGTTTCATTAGGGAAATCAAGATATCCATGAACACAGTGATGAAACCCAGCCTTGTGCTGAACTGAAATATGTGCTGAATTCCAAAATGTGTTTCAAATGTAAAAGGTGCCAAAGCCAAACAGGAAGAGTCCCTGTTCAGATATTCTGCAGATCGATTGCTCCTGGTTGCCTGAGACCACTGCTCACCTTGTCTGCCTCCTTCTTTAGGCGAATAGCTATCCAACTACAATCACGTGTCTCTGAGGGACTATCACCCATTCCCTCCTGACTTGCTCTATGCACTCCCTAAGCCTGCTCCCATCCAGAGAGGGACACGAGAGCTGCTGCTCACAAGGATTGGTCATAAAGGGAGTGAATGACTCAAGCTGGACAACAGAGTCCTCTCCTGGGTATCTTTTGAACTGGAATCGGGAGTTTTTTCTCTTTTTTTGGTGGCGAAGCAAGTAAGATGTGAGTCTGTAATCATCGTAGATACAGTTCCAGCCTCCTGGAGAGACTCTGATTGTGAGGATGATGTCAGTGATCAGAGAGCAGCAGAGACGCCAAAGAGAGAGAAAGTGTAGGAATGATGACCTGGTTCCATTTGTTGCCAACACTGAGTTTTAAATGGGTTCCTGTCACTCTCAGTCAAGGAATTCTAAGTTAAGTGATGCTGTGGGTAAAAGTGCAGTATTTCCAGAATCTCTCACCTGGCCTTAGTGCATCTCTATATCAACAGGTGTTTCCAAGGAGTGGAGAGAAGTAGTCCATCCCCATATCAATGGGTAATTTACAAGGGCGAGCCTGGAGAGGCTGGGCGGGCCCCTTCTTCTGCAGCCCAGTCACAAGAGGCACGGGAGGGCAGGAGTGGACAACCGCTTGTAAGAAATCAATGGTTTTCTCCCACTTTATTTCTCCCTTTGACTGATTTTGGTCTCAAAGGTATTTTGCTCCGGGATTTTCTCCCTGGAGTCACAGCTGCCCCCTTCTTAGGCATAGTGGACCTCATTTGTCTATTTTGGTCACCAGGGTGACAATTGCAGGTTCCATTTGAGTCTGAGTCAGGCCCCTCTCCATAACAATCTTCAAAGGAATCCCTTAAAATCAGAACCTATGATATATATACAATCTGTGTATATTGGCTAATTGATACATCACAGAAATCCTGATATTTGTGACAATAAGGATGGAACTTGAGGGCATGCTGCTAAGTGTGATAAGTCATACAGAGAGAGACAAATGCTGTATGATATTTGTCTTAAATATGGAATCTAAAAAAAGTGAACTAGTGAAAACGGACAGTAGAAAGGAGTTTAGCAGGCCTGAGATGGGGGGAGTGAAGGAATTGTGGGGATGTTTATGGGTGCAAACTTGTAGATAAGTTCTGGAGAGCCAAATATGGTATTATAAGCATACATACTGTATTATAAATCATTGCTAAGAGAATGGATCTTAACTGTTCTCAACACAGAAAAGAAATGATAAGATATGTGATATGATAAAAGTGTTAGCTAATGCAATTGTAGTAATCTTATTGCAATATATAAATGAATCAAACAACAAAAAGATTAGTGAAAATGAACCAAAATAAGTCTGAAAATTGAATTTATGCAATTGACTACATAGCCTCCATTTTTTTATATTATATATTTTTTGGTTTCACCATGTACTAGCTTTATTGCTTTGGGTAAGTGACAGTTTTGCTACAGTTCTTTACAGAGCTGTGTGATGGGCATAATGACTGCATATGCCTTCCCTAAGAGGCAGTATATAGCCTGATGGTTCAGAACATAGTCTCTGAGAGCAAGACTTCCTAGGGCAATCTTACCTCTATATTTTACTTATGTGTGGTTTGTTGTGACCTTGGGAAAGTCATTTAGTCCTTAGATGACTTAGTCTAAATCTCTTGGATGTCTTAGTTCCTATTAGTAAAATGGTGGGATAGTGGTACCTTATAAAGTTGTCATGCATATTTAGTGAGTTCCTGCACTTAAATCTGTTCACATAGAGAGTAGTATATACCAGTATTTATTGCAGTGACCTTAGTCAGTTGTAACAAGAATTAAATAGAATCCGTATCACAATGACTTCTTGATGATAAGCACTGGGTAAGTGTTGTGGCCATTGATATTTGGGTCTAGTTCCAGGTGGCAGTCGGCATACCGCTGTCAGATACATATTATTAAAGTAACACTTTGGTCATGTTTCACTTATGCTAAATGTTTTCAGTGGCTGCCTCTTATCTGTAGATAATGGTCCTCCTAAGACCATCTCTATTTAATCATTTCAATCTGCTCCTAGGATTGCCTCACTTGAGCACTTCACTTAATTAAAAGATTTCTTTATCACTCACTGTATGTCAAGAACTGTGAGGAGACTGAGATTTTACCTTACTTACAACCTAACACATTGGCCTGCCAGTTTCACGGATGCCAGCAGAAGACAAGACATTCCTGGGTCTTTACTGCATAGCCAGCGGCCTGTGCCTCCTGTTTGCTTCTGACGTCCTTACTCCCACAGTTCCCTGGAGGTGGGATGCAGAGGGGTCCTGGTGGGTGCCCCACATGCGGTGGGCTGGTGTCACAGCTGAGGAATTCCAGGCTTAGGGTATCTGATATTCTTTGATAACAAATCAAATCTCAATAAACGGTAGTTTCATAAAGCTGAATTGCAATGTAGAAATTTATTTTTGTTACTATGCTGTATTGAAAACCATTTGTCTTACCTTTTTGAGTGAATCTTCTATCCATTTATAATTTTGTGTCATCATATATTGGTCAGTTGAAAAATACTGGTTGCCTAAGTTTTAAGTACTGGGAAACAATCACACTAACAGTATCAGATACAAGAGTGCCAAAATTCTGATTTTCCTAATATCCTAATTAGGATAAATATATTTTTCTAATAGTCTGTGAAAAAAGTGCTTTGAGAATTCAGCTTGCAACTTAAAACATTCACGTAATTGCTTTTCCTTTAGACAAGCATTGTTTCAATATAACAGAAGGACTTTCTGTGTACTTCCCTTTTCATCTCACAGAATAGTTAAGAGGTGTGTACTAGAGAGTCAAGATTTAAAAAAATTAGTTACTTTTACTGCTTCATCAAAGATATTCTTAAATAATGATGATGAAGAGTGCAATAGTGTTCTAATGTGAGTTTTCTGCCACTGCTTTATTCATACCAAATTGCCAACAGCTGTAAGATCATTATTGTTGGACCATTGGTGCAAATGTCAACAGAGCGAAAACGGCAAATAACATTTTAGTGTTGTGACAATAATCTTGACCTTGTGGACCCCTGTAAGGGTCTCATAAACTGTTAAGTGATCTTGGATCATTCTTTGAGAACTTCTGGGTGGGGAGACCTTTTAGAAGGCTGTTGAAGGGAACCTAAACACAGAATGTAGAGCATGAAAGGAAAAGCACTTTGGGACATGGAACACATTGATTCTGAGTTGTCTGGCAAGTTCAGGTGCTGATATCTTGTAGCCATTAGAAAACATGAGACTGAATACAGACATTTCTGATTTAATGATTTATGTAAGGGAGACATTCACACATACGAGAGCGTGCATTGCATATTGCTTTAAGACACGGTCTGCCCTGGTGCAAATTCTAGTCCTGCCACTTTCTTAATCTGTTTGGGCCTTGACACTCTCATCTGGAAAGTGGATAAAGTAATAGTTTCTACCTCAAATTGTTGTTGTTAGGGGACACATGAGTCAGTATTCACAGAATGTTTAGAATAGTGCTTGGCATATAGTAATACACATGCACATGTATTAATCCATGTATGCAGTAATCCATATATATGTAATTTTGTTAAATAAATGACATGGAAAAATGGGAATATATGAGATTGTTCTGAGAGAATATTGGGAGAGAATAGGGCTGAAGATTGAAGGCAACTGATAGTAAGAGAAAAGCAGAAGAAAAAGAGCGAGGGAACCAGTGATGAAGGAGGCAGGAACACAGTCTTCAGAGTGGTGTCCTTGATGCCCAGGAGGGGTGTGAGACAACGTGGACTTCAGGAAGGCATGTGAACTTGAGATGGCACCTGCTGCCTCTGCTTTGTTCTCCATCCAGATCCTGGACTTGGCATAGACCCTGATACATAGCAGGTGCCCAATAAATACTTGGTGAATTAAAGTGTTAGAGAGAAAAGTCAGAAAGATAAGGGCCTGAATATATTCAGTTGTGTTTAGCAAAATAGGTCAGTTTGGGACTTACAACCCCTACATGGTGCCAAACCAACAT